TATATATATATATTCTAACTTTACTATAAAAAATATCATAATACAAAAGGAGTTAAAATAAAAAAAAATTTACTACTCTAACATACATGCTTTGCTGAGAGATAAACCGGAAGCGTGGCATAATTCTAATTTCAAAGCACATAGGGTTTCTTTTTGGTTCCCTCCTCCCTCCAACCTTTTTCAGCAGGCAGTAACTTTCAGCAGCCCTATACTCCTCGAAGTGTATAAATTATTGTCACTTTACAGTTTTCACAGTTTAAACTCGAAGTTTTCCCGATTTCTGGCCTTTCTGTCTACAACAGTATTGAATTTCAAGAAGAGCCGTCTGAACAAGTGAATAAATTTCACCATAAACCTTTTTAAATTTTTGATGTGATTCCAGCTGAGATTATTTTTAATTTCCATTTGAGAAAAGAGGGATGATTACTAATATTGTTTTTATTCTTTCCAATGGACACAAAATTGTATGCAATATTCAGGCAATTATGCCCTTAATAATCGACACTTTATTCGTTAAGAATCGTTAATAATAACCTTAATCAATTAAGACATATCAAATGAAACTTTTAATTCCAGAGAAATATTTAATTTTATTTGTTCTGTATGCATCATTACTCTATTTTGAAAATTCGACTGTGTTTTAAACATAATCTTGATAAATTGTCATTTGCCACATGAAGTAAATAATAAAGCAAAATTTTAGCTTTAATATAACAGAGCAAAAATGAATTCCATTTCAGTTCGGTAAATTTTTGCTCCACTGGTGAACTCGTAATAGAGTTATAAGTTCATAAGAGTTTTTTTTTTAATAAATAAATATAGTGATTGTTTCATTTATTATTGTTGCTCCTGAGTGTTTAATGCTAAATTATTTTTTTTTCTTTTGAAATAATTTTTGAAATATGGAAAGCAGGGCGACATTTATTTTTATTTGTATGAGAGTCAAAAAATATTAACTTAACTTTCAATAACTATAGGTAAATAAAAAACAAAAGTTGGATAAAAACTTTAAATGTAAAAAGATTTAAATAAAACACAATTACTTCACCTGAGGGATTTTATAAAGAATTCTAACCTTTTTAATTTTACAAGTTGGGTGAAAAGTAAATATTTTACAATAGTTGTATGGAGTCAAAGAAATTCTAAATTAAATCAACATTAAAACATTGAGTGTAAAAAGTTTTCAGATCACTTTAAAGTTCTGCATCCATTGCATCGCTTTCCTGGCCAAACAGTTGGGACAAAATTTCTCGGATTGCGGTTACCCCTGTAAACTGGGGATCAAAAATCCGAATCCGCCGGAAAAAAGTTTCTCGGAGTAAGTACGCTTTAGTGTCTGATTTCATAACTTAAAATATATTGTCTGCTGGCATATTTGAGGTCACCCTCTGGAACCATTAAGATTGAGTCCTGGAACGTAGACATCTGTTAGTTTTAAATTAGAAACAAAACAAAAATTAGTTTTAGATTTTTTGTTTACTTCTCACTGTACACTAAAACTTGAATTTTTTTTTCTTTTGAAATTTCGGTTTTAATGCCATTACGTCAACATCCTTCGGTTAGTGATTAATTTATAAATGTAATCTCTACTTTATTTTTCTCTTCACTTTTAAACTGTAAAAGACTTTTTCTCCATTTGTAAATTATGAAAAAATTATTAATCTGATTGTGTAAACAGTTAATTCACTAAAATTGAGCATTCTCAATTAATAGTCATTTATATTATTATTAATAATTATTTACACAAAATTATAATAAAAGAAATTTTTAGAAATTTATAAGTTTCTGTTGCAATAATTAGGGAATTTCTACTGACAAAATCCAAAAACATGACAGAATTCAAGTAGTTTTTTTTCGGAGCAAAATGCATTTTTATTTTAAAGGGAACAATATTGATTTAATATTTATTAGATAAAAGACTCTCTAATCGCTAACACCAATGACAGGAAAAAAAATTCATTTTTTTTCTTTTCCTCAAGAAGTTTAAAACGTGAATTGTTGTTCTTTCATCCTTGTTGTTCTTTCAAACTTAAATACCAGAGAAAAAAAACTTGATAGGAAGAGCCATGAAAAAGGGCCTAATTTTTGGAACCTCTTGAAACCTTATACGGTTCCCTCGGGAACCGTGGATCTCCATTTTAAAACTGCTGTATTCCATAACAGAATTAAAGTTTGAAAAAGGTTATACGTTTCTTAATATCTCGGAAACCTCTTGTGGGGCTAGGTTTCTTATGTCGATCGATCGCCATCCATCAAAAGGTATCTCAAGATAAAATTGAGTTAACAAATTCAATGAATAGATACCACTAGTTGTTTCATTGCTGCTTTGCGAGATGTCGGGAGAGCTGTATTAAGATCACCAGACTTTAAGAGTTGGTCGTGAGAGCTTTATTAGGATCAGGGTTGTGGGCGTGGTCGCTAATGTGTTGCAATAAGTAGTTGAGTATGTATAGGCCCCCGTTGTGTGTGATCGAGACTGAGTCACAACAACGTGAGGAGGACAATGTTGCAGTCAGACAATATTGCAGCAAGTCAACTATTCACTGTCAATCATCCATCGAACTAGTTGTGTTTCAACAGGGGTCTGTTTAGAAGAAATTTGGGTCCATTAACGAACCCTTCACAAAATATCTTTTCACGAAAACGTACCCTTCACAAGATAATTTATAATGCGTAACACATTAAAAGTGATACATTGCTAAATTGTATTATTTAAAATCTGTCAATTGAAATTATTAAAAAAGTGAGTGATTTTGTATCCATTATTCGTCCGAAATGAATATTCTGTGTTGAGCAGTATAGGCTAAATACAAAATATTTGCATGTTGCGTCTCTAATTTAGTAACAGCAATTGTTGGGCATAATCTTGTATCTATTTACAATTTAAAACCTTCTTGAAAAGATTTTTAACAATTTTTGCAATAACGAGACCCTATTTGCAATTTTACGAAAACAGGACCTTTCATAAAATGTTTGGACAGACCCCTGGTTTAAATCGAAGTGGGCGTTTCAGTCGAGGTAGGCGTGTTCAGATTGCATCTGCGAGTTACCCAAGTTTGGCTAATACTTTCGGAAAAATTTTTGTTGAATCAAAATTAATTTCTGAATTTTTTTGAAGTGTACTAGAATTCCTCATGTGTAGATGATTTTAATATAATTTTATTTTATTACATTAATAACAAGTAAAACGAGTGCTTCCTCAAATCCATAAAGGGAATGAACAAATTAATATAAAACAAATCATATGTTTTCCTGTTCCTTTCCTGTTTTCTTATTTCTGATGTCTTATTTAACAATGTAACTAGTTAGTGTTTAATTTAACAATGTATTAATTTTAGTGTTTCTCTAAAAAAATGAGTGTAAAACATTCGGTCAGTTTGGGGAATATTTTTTGTCGCTTGAGATTTTTTTACAGATCCTAGTTTCGTGTCTTTGATCTCAACTATTCAATCAGTTTCTCTCTACAAACATTTTTTTAATAAAGAAATAAATTGAAATTTTTTAATCTATTTTTTTACAAAATGCTCAAGTTTTAGAACGTTATATGTAACAGGGGGTCGCATAAATATTGATACAAATTTCTAGGGATGTTAGGGTACATCGCCAGGATAAATGATGCATCGGAACCCGTACCCAAAAATGTCGTCATACGCCGCATGAGTCACTTCACCATTAAGAGCGTTTTCCTTGTCTATTTCTGAACAGTTCATAATAGAGAAACACCCCTAGTCGAGTATGAGTTCCTATGTAATTTTAAACCTGATGATATGTCCTAACTCATCTAGAAGCTAGCCGCAACATTTATGCTACCCACGCCTGAATAGGCAAGATCAATTATTTGTATGAATGCAACCAAAAAATTCTCCCTGATTTAATCTCATGTTTTCATTTTTATTGCATGCAGTTATGTAAAATAACACCGAAAATATGTTGTTCCGTGCAAAAATGAAATTATAATTATGAATTATATGGGATGTTATTTTTAAGATTTCTCATGGCTATTTGGTTTTAATAATAATTTCATTCTTAAAAACAAATCTGTCCCTAAAACTGAACTTGCTTAACCAAAAGAATATCATAATATTGTTGATCATAATATTGTTGATAATTGAACAAATCATAATATTATTTTTCTTTTTTCTTTCTTTTTTTTTTTGCTAGGCAACTTTTATTTAGAAAGTAAATAAAATATAGAAAAGCACATGCCAAAAGTCGATGGTAGCACAACAAAAGAATAATTTCTATTCTATAAAAGTAGTTAAATGACTTCTTTTGTACAAAGAATAATTAGTATTAAATATTAGATTGGTGTGTAGTCTAGTAGTATTAATTTTAGATTCATGCGTAGTCTAGTAGTATTAATATTAGATTAATGTGTTGACGAGTAGTATTAATACTAGATTATTATTAATATTAGTAGTTAATATTAATATTAGATTAATGTAATTAGCATTGATATTAGAAAAATGTGTAATCATGCAATAAATAGTAGTACATCTATTCTTTTACGAAATATTTACCACCTAGTTTTGAAAGAAATATAAATTAATAAAAGCAATTAATTAACAGAATAACAGTTTGGTTTATCCAGCCCTTGAGCGTAAATAGAAAAAAATAACTAGATTGGTTAAAGAAAACGTTCATTCGATTTTTACTTAAATTGACATTTTTCTTTGTTGTACTTTCTCTGTGAACATTTAGTACTTTACTTTAATTTTAGATTTACCATTAGAAGTATATCAAACTCAAATTGTACAACCTGGAAAAAATGTTCAAGATGCCAACACGTGCATGAATAGTAAACCTCGAGAAAAAAGAATTTCTTCTAAATCTAAAGTTCTATCAGCAACTAAAGAAAATGATACTATTAAGTCTGTCTCGCCTTCTGAGCCACCACCAGGTACCGAATTAAAATCAGATGTTTCCTGCACAGAAAAAAATAAGAACGTTGAAAAAAAGCATACGAATAATTTTTCCGAGCAAGCTCTTGACGAGAATTTGTGGCTACCACAGCGAATTCTCAGACCTAGAAAAGCGAAACCAAACATGACTCAGAATGAAAAAGAATTGGATGAACTGATCGGTCCAGAATTACCAATAAAGAAAAACTCACGAAAGGGGAACAGAAAGAAGGAGCAAGATCTTTCTTATAAATGTAATATGAATCATAACTTTTATTGTCCTTCCCCGTTGCCAATGAATTCTAATGAAAACAACTGCCTCTCTGCTATCCAAGATCATGATTATTTCTTAAAAGACAATGATAAGCATTCAAACAGGGTCACAACTCTTTCCTCTGATAAGATTGATTTTAAAGTTACGAAGAAAACGTTAGATCGAAAAAAGAATATCACGTTACTTGTGGAAAATATTGGTAATGACTGTGGCACTACTTCAGTAGGTGAAAAGAACCTCGACTTACCAGTGGATAATGATAAAAGCTATGAAACAGCTAAAGAAGAGGAAAATAAATTTACCTTTGCAGTGGATCTAAATAATTCATGTTATCAGTCAAAGGTACAAGCAAAAATCAACAATACCACCTTCGTAGGGGATAAAAATTTGGCAAGATCTGATTCCGCATTGAAAAACGAAAATAAAAAGGTTAACTTTATCGAAAACAAGAAGCAGAAACGTGCTCAAAAAACTAAAAAAAATTCATTGGAAGGCCATGGAAAGAAACATGTGCATGAAAATAACAAAACTTGCAAGAATACTGAATGTTTTCTTACTGAAAGTGGCATCTCCGAAAATGATAAACCGTGTGACAGCGAAGATGTCAATGTGACAGCAAAGCAACAAATATGGCATAAAATTAAAAATCCTCATCAACATGAAAACATGATAAATACCTTTAAAAGCAGCGACGGATGGAATTCGGAATGTGTTAAGTTCACTAAAGATAATAATGCGTTGAATCAAAGAAAATGGTATGAAGTAATTGGCACGGAGGAACATTCAAAGATGGAATCAGCAGAAAGCCAGAAGTTAAAAAATGAAATGAAACGTGAAGAAATAAATGACTTTGAACCACAACCTCAAAATGAAGTAATTTTCTTGAATGAAATCAAAACAGAGGTAAGTTTCCCTTTCCAAATATATATTGTAAGTAAAGCAAAAACGAGTACGGTTTTGCTACAGTGTACTTACTAATAAAGAGAACCGTGAAGCGGTAGTACTATGGAATTGTCAGTAACAAACAGTTTCTGCAATATTAAAATAAAGTAATAGCAGTATCCGATAAAAAAAGAGCAATGAAACTGCAGTACTGTAAAATTCTCAGTAACAAATAGTTCCTACAATATTAAAATAAAACTAGTGGTCTGCGCCCCCTGGTCGCTAACGCTCGCCAACCCCCGAAAATTGCTACGCAATCTTATATGGTTTGCTTCGCTTCGCTCGCTACTAACTGAGGTACATTGCAAATACACAAAATTCTAAGAATTCAGAACAATCATTCAAATCCATATAACAACATTTTTTTTTAAAAAAAAATTACATCTTTTTAGTAAATACTAAGTCATTAAAATAAATTTGAATTCAAATAAATGACATGTAATTCGTTAAACCTATTATAAATGTGCTATAGTATAAAATCTTAAAGCGTAACAGCACGACTGAGAATCATTTTTCAATGAATAACTAATAACAATAATAAAACAAATAAATTCGTGATATAAATCAAAAACAGGGTGCGTAGCGTTTGTAAAAAGTACTTAAAGGTGCTTTTTTGGGGATTTCGTTTTTAAAAGCTTTTAAAGGTGCTTTTTTCAGCTGGCGTTTTTAATAAGTGCTTTTTTTCCGAATAATTTTTTTTCTTTCCTTCAGTGATATCTGGTGGATCCCATCCATTTCACGAAAAATGGGGAGTTTGTTACGTAATCATTGACGCGGACTTCATGTCGTACCCATGTCATGACTTGCGCATGCGCACACTTGAAACCGAAACACGAGTGCTCCAATTCGGATAGAGAATATCAGATCCTTATGAAATGTTTTTCTTTTTAATTTAATTTATTTTTGTTCTTGTTTATTTTATTTTACTTCTAACACTTTTCTTGACGTAGGGGGTAAGGGTACCTTTATTCTGAGTTCAGGGTCAAGTTGAATTCACTCGGTGATGCGGGAAGGTACTGATTGTTTTGATTTACGCCCGTTTCTTTTTTGTTTTTTTTTAACACTAAAACTGTTTATAAAAAGTTTTTGTTTTTCAATAATATCATTGATTGAATATGAATTTTTTGAGTGCTTGAAAATTTTTGTAAAGTGCTTGAAAAGTTTTTAAAAAGTGCTTATTTTTGATTCAAAGATTTGGCTACGCACCCTGAAAAATCGTCAAATAAATTCGAAATATATAAATTCGTGAAAAAAAGCGCCTTCGACCAAATACTAAAATAGAGATCAATTGACAAGGACTACTCACTTCTGCCTAGCTTAGGGTTATTTCAGTTTCCGTTTTTAAAAGCGCTTTATGTTGAGCCACCTCAGCTAGATTTGGCATGTGACATTTTTAGCGGCAATCATTGGTCGATTTTCTAGCATTGCCATTCGGGGAGTTGTAATGAGACTTTTCTTTTAGTCGCCGTGTAAGAGAAATATATATATAGATGAGCCAGGAAGCAGCAGTACTATGAAATTGTCTGTAACAAATAGTTTCTTCAATTTTAAAATAAAATAATTTTTTAAATTTAAAAAAAAGAACCATTTTTTTATGGTTTTGCCAGAAAAATCTAAGCAAAAGAAATATTAAGTGTAATTTATAAAATACGAATTTATTTAGCCTCAGTTAAATTTTCCAGATATTATGTTCAGTTTAGATCAAGTGTCTCTTAAAATGTGATGCAAGAATATGTTATAAAGATTATAAAGGAAGCAGATAAATAGTCAGTGATTTAATTGATGTAATTATTGTTATTCGAAACATGATGACTTTTCCTCAGCATTCTTTAAAATTATCTTAAAGAAACTGGTTGAAACAAAATATTAAATGTTCCAATTAATCGGTATTGATCAACTTCTCAAGTTTATAGACAAAGCTGAAAGACATTCCGACTTAATTATTATAATTAAATATTATTAATATTAGTTAGCTGAACTTCCCGGTGACTTTACGTTATTAGACTAATCAAAGTACCATTTTAATAGCTACTTCAATCAAGATTAAAATTGACTGTATTTAGTATCAGTTGACATGGTTCAGTTGCTCGAGACCGACTCATGATAAGTAAAATTTACCTCAATCGAATAATTTTTCCTGTACTATCACCTTTTTTAGGATCGTAAAAAACCTATTACCAAAGTACTGATCTTTTGTACTTATTTTAAATACCTGTTTAACTGTATTTGGTACCTACTACCACAAGATAATTAAGTAATATCTGCATTGATAAGAGTATGACGATTTTTTTTTTACTTTTTCACGAAACAAATAAATACCATTTCCACATTAATTTTGCCTTTGGTATCTAACTTTTTTATTTCAATTAATGCCTGCTAGTGACGTCATCGTAGGTAAATCATGACATATGTTGATACAGAAACTATTTAAGTTTGACACACACGCGTGACGTCACTTACAGGTACGTCACTTACTAGATAATTCCGATTAAAACCACATGGTTAAGCAAAATCAATTTACATCTAAAATTCTAGTCCCCAATTACAGCTGATTTGAAATTGTTTTGTTTCTTTGGTCTTAAATCGAGAGATAAACAATAATTTCTGTGTATTCAATCGAGGGTATTCTGTATATTCTTTTGTATCTTTTTAATTAGAATAAAGAGCCATACTTCCCAGCACCAAATTTTGACGCAGATGTTATGTTTGATTGTTTTGATGATGACAGTCAAGGATTCACCAATATTAAAATCCCAGAGGCAGGAAACCAAGATGTAAGTATCTAAATGTACATTTCTTGTAATCAAAGAAAATTTTGTTTTTCAAAAGTTCTGTTGTCGCATGAAGTCATACTGTTTTGCGAATAATATGCATAACTGTTATGAGTTTGCAACAGTTACTTATGACTAAGGCCCGGATTTTGATGACATTTGCATTTTTGGACATTTTTTGTCTTTTAGAGCATTTTTTTAGATTTATAGTGCATTTTTCTTTAAATTTTGGGGCGTATTTTGCATTTTAATGCATTTTTTAAAGTTTTTTATTAATTTTTTCCAATTTTTATTATTTTTTATCAATTTTCATTATTACACTGGCTTCCAAACAATGAAGAAAATCTATAGAATATTAACAGGTGAAGCAAAATCTTTTCAAATTGAAGAAGAATTGTCAGTAAGTGAGACCGTCTTTTTCAAGTACGCACCTATAACATAATTTCAGTAGACGTTGAAAAAAGCTTCTGCAGTAATGAAAATTTACTTTCAGACAAGAGACTCTCGTTTACATTTCAAATTATCAAAAAACATTTAATTATCAAATGTAATTCTGATATTTAGTAATATTATGAGATGGAAGTTGTTATATCCATTAAAGTTTCTATACAAAATAAAAATATTTTGGTGTCAATATATTTTCCTTTTTTTGTTATTTTAGGATATAAAGCAAATTTTTCAAACTTTAATGAACGCAGAACAAGTATTGCATTGCTTTATATTTTTTAAATGACTCATAATAATTTTAAAGAGCAAAAAAATTTTTTAATTCAATATTTTTACTTTATTTAAGACATTTTTGCGCAATTTTTGGATTTTTAAGGGCATTTTTTGCCCTTTTTAAGGGCATTAGTTGAGATTTTTTAGGTCATCAAAATCCGGGCTCTACTTATGACCTTTTAGGACAAATTTAGTTTATCTTTACCCAGCACCCTCTATCTTGATTTTGAAAATGGCCCAAAACGTCAATATGAGAAAAGCCACAGTTTTGAGAAAATTATTACCCTTTTTGTTTTAATATTTAAAAGCTTACTCCAATGCTACATTATGTGGGCTCATAACAAAATTGCAAAAAATGAGTATGAGGCCTTGATTTTGATAATTTTCATCTAGGTGGGAAAATGTCGCCTAATTGACTATTTTTAGAAGAGTTTAATAACTAACATTTTAAAATATTTTAGTTATTTGTCAGTTGATACCTGAATGACGAGTATCAATCGGGTGGTCATTGGAAGAAAAAAATATATCTCAAAATGAAACATTTTTGCTCACAATTATAAAATTCATTTATCTAAAGATAATCTCAGGAAAGGAAATATTCAGAAATAATCTATTATTTCATTTAGTAATACGGAGAAAAATTTTGAATTGTAATGTAAGACATACAAATTTTTTACCATTTTAAAGAAAGTAATTATGTATAGCAAAATAGAGAGTTTGAACGATTGCTCCGAGTTTGATTTGATTCCTGAGAAAACGAATTTTTAAATGTACGACATTTTCAAAACTCGATTTTTCATGAACTATTTGGTTGCTTTCGTTCAAATTCTGTATTTAATCGTATAACATTATCGTATAACAACGCATATTTGTTTTATTTCAGCTCATTCAGTCCAATTTCAACAGCAATTTGTGTTGTAAATTTGGCTTTGCGTCATGGGTAATTTCAATTTTCTTTTTTCTTTCTTTCTCTATTTTGATAATAATAGTAACTATCTGAAATCTCATCTTTCGTGCGGAGTTAAAAAAATTATTCTTGAAAAAAATTAAAAAAATTATAAAAAAATTATTCTAAACTAAAAAAATTCTATATAAATAATCTATAATCTAATTCTATATAAATAATCTATACTAAAAAAATTATTCTAAAATTATTCTCACTCGGCAAAAAATAAAAAGGTATTGATATTCAATATTCTTCAGCACCGATAATGATACTATTGATGAAAGCCAACACATAATTAATTATTAAGATTAACTATCTAATCGCTATCAAGTGATTTTTACTTATGAATCAATAATAAAGTAAGCAAAACCAAACTGTAAGCAAAATATTCCATCTCGCCTCAGAAAGTTTACAGTCGGTTACATGTCTCCTCCTTCATTAATTAGCTTTTTTAAATACAATGATCCTTATGCACCTTGCTTTTAAGATAATAGCTCAGAACATAGTTGATAGCCTTCTAAACACTAAAAATGATCAACCGATTTTTTGTTTTAGGCGATAGAATTTTTTTACAGTATTTACCGTATGTACATAAACTGTCTTATTTTTACATAAAAATGGGCATTTCAAATAGTAATAATAATCCTTTTTTTTTTGCTGTTTTTGTAAGTTAATGACACAAAATAATATAAACTTTTTTTAAATTTCCAATGAGCTGCAGAATCGGTCTTGCCGATAAGCAGACCTAGTGCGTTTTCCAGAGGTGGTATCCACTCTTTCAGGAACCACCACAATGGGTGAGATACCGTTGGTCATGTTAATTTGGATGTCTAGTTTCTGCCACACTAGATGGCAGCACCGAGACTCTATTTGGATGCTAAAGTGCACTAGGAATTTAATTTTGCCGGAAATACCAAAAGGCACTCCAGGGATCTTTTACATGCCGCATAATCATAGGACACGGCCGCTGAGGACATTCTGCATCCCGAAAATCCGGCGTCTGGGCCGGGGATCAAACCAACTGCGCCACCCAGCCACAAAAAAATAAATAAAAATAAATAAATAAAGTAAACTAGTTCTTTAAAATTTTATATAAATATTTTTAAAAAATTTCTCGAAACTAGTTGGATAGTTTTAAGTGAACTTTCATTCTTCTTTATTTTCTATAATTACATAATTTATTGTTTACAAAAGGGAATTTCAATACATTTTGATTATTACCATTATAAGAATTTACTTTAATATACTTTGATTCCTATAAATTATATTGCTCAATTTGAAACTTGGTTTTCGACAGCTTTGCGTTCTGAGGATTTTTACCTTTGATAGGTTTGACCATTATAAGGTTTGCCTTTGGTGAACTTTGATTTTCTTTAACCTTCACAATTGCATATTTTAAATTTTCTATAGTGAACTTAAGTCACTTCTATTTTTTATACTTGCTAAAATTTGCTTAATTCAACATTTATTCTTTTTGAACATTGAAATTACATTATTTAATGTTAAGCAACTATTGCCATTTTTAATTTTAATAGTTTTCAATTTGCTGAGGATAATTTTACTTCTTTTAAATTTTTTAATGGCATCATTGTTAAACTTTTCATAATAAATTCGGGATGTTTTAATTTTTTTGATTACTCAATTTAAAATGTGTTAAATGTTTTCTTTCTTTCAACTTATATAATTTTTTTACTGCCATGAAATGATTAAAACTGACTGTTTTTTTTTTTTTTAAAATGTGTATATTTTGTTTTGACCTACACATAAGTTCTGCATTTGGTGATGAACATTTAATTTGTTGCAGATTAATGATTACACACTGAATGACATGGACAAAAAAGAGGTAAATTTCAATCATGTTTTTTCTATATTTTTAACTTATTTTACGAGTTCTATGTTCTTGCTGCTTATTCGCAGTAAAAAAATATTTTTATATTTTCTTAATATTATTCGTTAATCTCTCTTTTCTACTTAAGGTCAAAATACGTGAAAAATATTATATTTATCATTTCAATAATTTATAGTCATCAAATACCGCATGAAACACTGAGGTCTCTTTTTTGCGTTAAAGGCTAAATTTTCCATACACGGCTCTCTTTCAAACAATAATTTTTCAAATTTTCTCGTATTTTCAATTATTTAGATCTAAGAGAAACAGTTATGCGTCAATGAAATTTCAATTTACTAGATAAATTATTGATAAATATTTGAATATTAATAAAAAAAAATTTTGAACTACTTTTTGGATTTATATATTTTAGTACAATAATTTAGCAGATTTGCAATTCCAATAATTTAGCAGATGCAATGCATTCCAATAATAATTTAGCAGATTTTTTAATAATCATTAGACGGCTTTTTATAATCAACAAATATCGAAAGATATTTTTACTTGTAAATTAAAGCGTCAGGAAAAAATATATAAAGATACCGATGTCCCATCCATCTGCCTTAAAGGAATATATTTTAACTTTTTAATTTGAATGTGATATGCTGTTAAATCTTTTGGTGCATCTAAACGCAAAAAATGGTAGAAATTACTTCATTCCCAAACTATAAAGTTAAAGAAAGAATATTAAAGTGTCTGCACATACAGTTTCCAAAAAATATCTTGCAGTACCCTACTCTGCTAGAAATTTCTTGGAAAAAATGTTAAATAACTATTTAATTGTTATTTAATTAAAACGAAACAGTCAAATAACCGTAAATAAGATGGTAATCAAACTGCTATAAGAACTACTTTCATCCAATACGGTTAAATAATCAGAATTTTAATTCGTCAACTAAGCCCACTTAAAGTAACCACTTTGTTGCTTGCAACTGCATACATATGTGGGGAGAGTAGCTTCGACCATGTCAACCGTCATCTATGAAAAGGTACCCTAACATAGTCCTAGTCCTAGTGTTTCGATTTTATTGGGCACCTGGGTCTCGAAGCGACCTCTATCCCATTCATCTTGAATTTTAACACAGTTTTGGTTGAGCATTGAGGTAAGCAGGAAGTGGAGTTGCTTTTATGAATGCTTCAAGCACCTTGCTTGAATAACTAAAAAGGAATCAAGAACCCTAACATAGAATCGAGTTAACACGTCTTATATACTAGTTAATTGGAATTTTGTAGTGGTAGATACCCTACAGTACTCCCCCACCAGAATTATATCCGTGATAGAAATCAATGAACGGATACCACTAGTTGATTCATTGCTGTCTTGTGAAAAGCCGGAAGAGCTGTATTAAGATCACCGTAGTTTTTGAGTGCTGAGTGTGAGAGGTGTATTAACTTCACTGTCGTAGTCGTTCCTGTGTTGCCGTTAGCAGTCGAGTGTATGCAAGCCAACGTTGTGCGTGGTCGAGACGAGACTGAGTAGCAACAGTGCGAGGAGGTGGATAATGTCGCAGTCACAAGTAGCAAGTCAACTGTTCAATGTGGACCATCCAACGAAGTGGGCGTTAGTGTCAACTGTGTGTGTCACATCACGTCCGAAGGTCACCAATGTGGGGAGAGTAGTTTTCAACCATGTCAACCGTCATCTATGAAAAGGTACCCCAACATAAAAAAAATCGAGTACAAACGGCTTATATATACTAGTGAATTGCAATTGTAATTTTGTAGTGGTAGATACCCTACACACATTACAGCTGAGAAGGATAACTTGTTACTGTCAGTCTCATGACCGACAAAACTGGTTTGAGTTCCAGCGTTGACACCACAATATTTCCTTCAGCATATGAAGAGTTTCCAGTGTCTTGCACTAACCAATTTGTGTCTTACACTCCCCAATGCCCATTACCTAACGAAAAACTTAGCTCCTATGTCCAGTTAAATTTCATTTTCACGTTTGCAATCATGTTAGTTGTAAATGGTTGAAAAAACCATATAGATTCATGGTGTCATAACCATACTAGTTGTAAATTGTTTCAAACCAGAAAGGTAAAAAATATGTTCCTTACCATAAACTTTATGTTTAATTAGGTAAACAGACTGCTGCTGCTATTTTACCATAATTTTAAAATAAAAACTCTAACAGTGCAGAATTATCGGGCTTTCAATAGTTAACTTATTTTAATATAGCCATAATAATATTTATTGAATGCTTCGATTATTTATATGAAATTGCCAATGAAGAAAGAAATCGCAAAAATTTATATATTTTTATTTAACTATGACAAGAACATAAATTTTTAAAACATTCCATGAGCATTTTTCATCAAGTTTTTCAATACGAAACGGAAAAAATAAAGGATAAAAAATTGGGTTTCTCAACGTTTAAAACTGTTTTTTTTTTTTTTTTTTTTTTTTTTTTTTTTTTTTAAATAATAATTTAGCTTATTTTATTCATGTCAACACATGCAAACACGAGAAGCAAATTTATAATTTAATAAAATATTTTATTCTTTACATAAAGTATTTTTTTATAACCGGTGTTGAACAGCCGACCCATTTCTGAATTTACGATTATCAATGTCAAACTCCATTTCCATGTAATTTTGAACCCTACCCAGAAGACAAGGTAGCTCCTATATCAAGCATTTGGTTAAACTAGCGTTCGTGAAGGATTTTTTGATGGATCTTTGTCTTACATGTAGAGGAAAAACATGAAATCCTCCTCCGGTTAGCCGGACGGTAACCATGATCCTTCTATCATTGAAGATATTTTATGTCAGATGTGAGGTCAGGGCAAACCGGGAGAAGAATTCGTATCAACTAGCCACCGATGGCAGGGATCTGTCCAGACATTTTGTGAAAGGTCCGTTTTTTGTTAAATTGTGAAAAAATTACTCGTAATTGATGCATATAAAATAAACGTTAAGTCACATTCTTTCAATCAGGGTCCTGCTTTTGTGAATTTGTGTAAATAGGGTCCGTTACTGCGAAAAAACTTTTTCAAGGAGTTTTTAAATTGTAAAGACATACAAGATTATGCTCAACACTGTAAAATAATGATTAAAAAAATTAAATTTTAAAAAATAATCAGCAATTGCAGCTACTAAATTAGCGATGCAACATATAAATATTTGGTATTTAGCCTATACTGCTGAACGCAGAATATTCATTTCGGACGAATAAAGAAAGAAACGTCTGCTGAAGACAAAATTTAGTTCGTTTACATCTGTCTTTCACCCTCCCCCTTTCCTGGGAAGGGTTTATTCGATTAACAAAACAATAATGAAGATAAACAAATTTGTGAAGGGTCCGATTAAAAGATAAATTATTTTGTGAAGGGTCCGTTTTTAAGTTAAAATATTTTGTGAAAGATCCGTTTTTATGAAAAGATATTTTGTGAAGAGTCCGTTAACGGACCCGAATTTCTTCTAAACAGACCCCCTAGATAGGATTCGAAGGACTTTGATCATCTCAATGGAAGTCGAACGCTCCCACATTAAGCATTGGTCATCTCAATGGAAGTCAAACGTTCCCACATTAAGCATATTCATCATAATGAGTAGATCGTTTTTTTTTTGTTGTTAGTATAATCGCAGCAGCTAATGATATTTTAGTCCGTATTCCACCAAAAAAGTTTGATCATTTAGGGGACGCTAAAATATATTACGTAAGCATATTTTTGGAATCCCCCGCTCCTTTTGTTAGCAAAAATAAGCAAATCATCAACCCTTTCACCCGCTTAAGTAAAAAATTAGAAGCACCGCCACCTTCTGTTTTTTACCTAAATTTTTACTGTAGTAATCTAATTTTATGATAAAAATACAAATAAAAATTGACCGTACGAGTTGTAAATGTTTTCAAAACCGCAAAGATAACAAAAATTTCCCAACCATAAACTTAATGGTTAATTGAATGGACAGACAGCTGCCGGAACTTATACTGTAATTTCAGAATAAAACTTCTAACATAATGTAATAATTTATCAGTAATATTCCTTTGCACTACTGTTGATGTAGAGCAGTTGGTATCATTCTTGTAGGTGTAGAGTACTTAGTATCATTTCTGTAGATGTAGAGTAGGTGGTATCATTTCTGTAGATGTAGAGTAGTTGGTATCATTTCTGTTGATGTAGAGCAGTTGGTATCATTTTTGTAGATGTAGAGTACTTGGTATCATTTCTGTAGATGTAGAGTAGTTGGTATCATTTTTGTAGATGTAGAGTAGTTGATATCATTTTTGTAGGTGTAGAGTAGTTGGTATCATTTTTGTAGATCAGGAACGGCAATTAAGTATATACGGCAATAAGTACGGTAGTCAATAAAGTAATTTTGAGGTACAGTTTAAAATAACGTCGGTTATTTTAAGGAGCATACACACGCGTATTTTTAAAATAAAGTTAAAATATCAAGCAGTGAGAATAATACGGATTCAAATCAAACTAAACGAAACAGAAACGGATAAATTTTAATGTTTTTGCGATGTAATGTTTGGAGTAAGTCAAATTATAAACAGATACATAATTTACGGAATTTAGCATTAATTAAAACCACAAACAAATAGTGAGATAGGATTTTCTGAAAAATAAACGCTTAATTAAGATAAATTTAAGTTTACTCTGTTTAGAAAAAAAAAACGTATAAGCTTTAAAATTTTGCATCCATTTAAGTAGCCAACCATAAAATTGAATAAACGACAAAATGTATAGTCGTAAGTTAACTCCTATTTAGTTATAGGCCTCAAAATTTTGCATCAATTAAAGTCGCACAATATAAAATTGAACAAATAGCAGAACGAATAATCGAGAGTCAACTCGCATTTAGAAATTGATTTAAAAGCTTCAAAATTTTACATCAATCAATTAACACAACAATAATAAAGATAAGCAAATTTGTGAAGGGTCTGATTAAAAGATAAATTACTTTGTGAAGGGTCCGTTTTTGTGAAAAGATATTTTGTGAAGGGTCCGTTAACGGACCCAGATTTAAATTATTTTGTGTAGGGTCCAAACAAATTTGTGAAAGGCCTGATTAAAAGATAAATTATTTTGTGAAGGGTCCGTTTTTGTGAAAAGATATTTTGTGAAGGGTCCGTTAACGGACCCAGATTTAAATTATTTTGTGAAGGGTCCGTTAACGAACCCAGATTTCTTCTAAACAGACCCCTGGTAAAATCAACCATATATAAGCAGTGAAAAATTTTGGAGTGCAGCAGCCACTATCTTTGGTGTTGCTTTTCAATTTTCTTATAGTCCATGCAGTCACATTTTTAATACTTTATGCTGTTATAGTTTTATTTGATTACTTATTCATTTTTTGTCTGTTTGCTTCCTGACTACATAGTTTTTCTTGAGCATTGGAATCATAATAGCTTCAGTGCAAAAACATTTCGTTTTAAAAGAAAGCACAATTGTGATCTTGTCAATTTGATATAAAATTTTATAGAATGACTACAGCATATAACTAATTTCATCTTTGCTTAATAATATATCTAATTTACCTCAACACCAAAAACGATGGCTATGCGCCAAAATTTTTCCAAGTGTAATCGTATAATTTATAAGACGTCATGTATGTCAATATAATGTGAATTTTAGCCTATTTCTTACTTATTTTGAATTTTTTAGATTGTGAAAAATGAGCCAGTGGATGTTATGAACAGCAATTATGTTGATGTAAAAACAGTATGTTAGTTTTCTTTATTGCTTTTGATACATACTGTAAATATTTTTATTTTTTAAATTAAAGTTTTTTTCTCTTCATTATGGAAGCTATTCATTTTAGTTTTTTATGCTTTATTTCTTTTGAAACCTGTTTTTTACGGTAAAAAGTTATTTTTATTTAAAGTTTTATTTTCTTCATTATGAAATCTATTCATTTACTAATAAATCTAAACTTTCTTTAATTTTTTCTCTCGATCAATCAACTATCATATTGTAGGTAGAGATAAATTCATCAATATATATATATATATATATATATTTACGAAACNATATATATATATATATATTTAAACCAAACCTTACCTAACTCGTTTGCTTAATGTTTTTGACTTATTGCACTGAAATAATTTAATTTCCATCTGTCCATTCTACTCTCTTAACTTTTTTTAAAATTTGTATCTTTTTTACTAGTTTGTTTTCTTTCTCGTATATTATTTTTATGTTGTAAAATACACAGTCCAGTCACATTAATGTGACCACCTGTCAAAATCCAGAATAACGCAGAGCGAACCGCTGCGAGACGTGCAGGAAGAGAGTCAATTAGGTTTCTGAAGGTATTCACTGGGATGTTGAGCAATGCCGACTCCGTGGCCAGCTGCGCTAGATTACGCGGTTGAGGATCCATGTCGCTAACAACCTGATCGAGATGGTCCCACAGATTCTCGATTGAGTTTAAATCCGGTGAGTTTGCTGGCCAGGGGAGTACGGTAAATTCATCCTGGTGCTCTTCGAACCACGCACATACACTGCGAGCTGTAGGACACCTCGCATTGTCCTGCTGGTTGATGCCATCATTCTAAGGAAAAATCCTTCGCAATAGGAGTGGACATGGTCCGCAAGGACAGATGCGTACTTGTGCTGATCCATCGTGCCTTCCATAATGATGAGTGCACCCAGCGAATCTCAAGAAAACATTCCCCAAACCATATTGCTCCCTCCTCCAGCCTGCAGCCCTCTGGCAAATGTTGCAGGATGTTTGCTTTCAGACGTTTCACGGCGTATACGCCAACGTCCATCTGTGCGATGAAGCATCTTTGGTATCATTTAAAATTTTTTAATTTAAATATTAAGAATTTTTATTTTTATTTTAATGCTAATTCTGTATTCTATTAGTTTCTGGTATTTAGTTTCATATTACGAGTTGATATTTCTAATGTTATATTTTATTTAAATAGCAAATTTCTACATAAAATAACTTTGGCTCTAATTTTTTTCCAAAAAATTATTGTTAATTAGCTTGTTTTCTTTTCCCTTTCATAATGTTATGTTGTAAAATATATGCTGTCTTTGATATCATTTTCCATTTCGTGGACATCTTACCTGTAAAAGCAATTTTTAGTTTAGAAATTATTATTTTTTATTTTAATGTTTATTTTCTTTTTAATAGTCGTCTCAGGTATTTAATGTTATATTACTATTTTATGTTTCTAATTTTATATTTCATTTTAATATCGAATTTCTACATCAAATAACGCTGCCACTAGTTTTTCTTTAAAAAATTGATTCTTCTAAGTTCTTTAATCAGCTCTCCTTTTCAATTGATCTAGTTGAGTGGTTAAATTAAACTAAGCAAATCAATTCCAGGCAGTTAACTTTTAATTCTAATAGTTTTAATTTTTTTTAAACATCCTAGCATATTTTTATAACTTTTAATGGAATTAGTTCTTAAATTGTTTCTATCATACGCTTAGGTTGAGGAGTGGAACAGATTACAAGAAAATATAATATTGTCAATATTTTTCAGGACTTTTCAAGCAAGGCATATAACGATTATTCGTCATTATTATCTGCCGGAAGCTTAATGAAATGCATCGAAGAATTTCCCCAGGAGTTTATGGAGGTGAGTTCAAACTTTTCCATTTGTGTGGTGGGTAAAATTTTCGTAGACCTAAGTTTGATTCTAAAGACTAGGTGCATGATCATATTACTAGGACTAGGTATATGATCAAAATGTTCGCCGGGATAGTTTGGTTGGTAGGAAATTGGGCCCATGTTCAATAGGTCGTAAGTTCGGTAGCTGCTGGCCGAAGTTTTAGTAAATGATGACTGGTGCACGTTAAATATGTCGGGTTCCTCGTGTTCCCGTAACAAGTTAATACCTCTGGGGGTACTGAATGGGAAATGGATCGTTCTATGGATCAGGCCAAAATTACGATCTGTGATTGTATGAATGAGTTTACTCTATAAACGGGCTGTGACGTGTGTGTAACTGAAGTCGTATTCTTGGCCATAAATGGCGCCACTGAAAACCAAAAAATGCACCCTCTGCCTTAAATTCGTTTGGTTTCACCAAGCAGAATTGCAGGTATTTGGCACGTTAAATATGCTACTACTCGCCAGTGATCTGTTGTAGCATTTTTAACAGTGGACACTTTTTAAAAAATTAAAATTTGAAACGATGTAAAAAAGTGTTTATTTTTAATAATGTAAGTCATGATTGTGAAGTCTTAACCTACCTGGCACGCAACGGGCTGTTGAGGGAATTCTTCACTCTTTTATGGCGCTGTTTACGCTTGGTGAACTTTTCAAGGTTCATTTCTAAAATGAAGAATATTGTTATGAACAAGGGATGAAATAAAGTAATTTCAGAATATTATGGAAAAAAACTTCAATAATAACGATACTTATGTAATCTGGTCAGACTCAAAATCATCAATATCATCAATACTTGATTTTGGCACAAGTAATAGAATTTCTTTTGATATTCAACAAGAACTACAACACACATCAATTCAAATTTCCTGGATTAAAGCACACAGCAATAGAGTAGGTAATGAAAAAGCAGATGATTTAGCTAAACAATCTACGAGACAACCGAAAAATTATGTATACCCACTTCCAGTTTCATATCTTAAACGACGTATTAAAGATTCTCTTCTAACAAAATGGCAATTTCAATGGAATAATTCAGACAGAGGCAGACGTCTATTCAAAATTATTAACAATGTTACTTTTTTCAAAACAATTCCTCCAAAACAAGTCATCTGGTTCTTGACGGGTCATGGACCATTTCCAACCTTCTTTAATTACCTGCATATAACAGATACTGATCTTTGCACCTGCGGCCAACAAGGTTCGCCTGAACATTATCTCACTAGTTGTTCCTACACTGTCTCCTGGCATAGTCGTCAACCTAGCCCAACAAATTTAGAAATTTGGCAGAAAACTTTTATTACAAACAATACTTTAAATAAAAGATTAATAACAGTAATGAACTTCTTAGCGGATAATGACTATCTATTAAAATTTTAATAACTTCCCATTTCACATGTATAATATTTTTTTTGTCTAATTTCTTCTTAAATTCCACACTTTCAGTAAAATCTATTCTTTTTTTTTTTTTAATTTCTAATTTTTTTTTTTTTAATTTTATGTTATTTAGGCTGGAGTGGAGCTGGACCAGCGGCCAAGTCCTGGGCTATATGGTTAAGGGTTTTCATAACCTAGGTACATGCTCAGGGCTTGGAGGAAAGGAAAAAAAATGAATATTATGAAACATTCACATTAATTCCAAATTTTTTAATAAATTTGATAATAAAATGCACATGGGGGGAATTTTCGACGAAAACGTGACGATGGCTACTCGTCGACAATTTTCTAATCTCAATTTGTTGTATTTCATCGCCCTGCGGCTAATGGTGACTGTTAAGCCTTCGACGCAGGTGGGACACCTGCGTCCCATCTGCTGTGAATTTATGTATTTTTTTCTGACACCTCTCACTTAACTTCTAGTTTTGTAATGAAGTTGCTACCACCAAGGGTGCCGACAGAATAATATAAAAGGGGCTGCAACCCTCTAAGAAACTACCCTCCCCCCCAAAAAAGTAAAAATATTTTGTTACATTTTGTTTTGTTATTACATATAATTTCATCTGTTAATTTTTTTCATCTGTTTTAATAGAGAAAATTCTTATAAATCCCTCGCATACATCGATTTAGTTATTCAGGCCACACCGTTTTATCCAGGTGGAGCGGAGGCAGTCAAAATTGGCCTAACTCCCCCAGCTACTATGTGCACTATTGAACGCACTTTTAGTACAATGCGATGCATCAAAACATGGAATTGGTTTACTATGTCTCACGAGAGATTAAGTAGTTGGTGTATGCTCTGTGTGCATAAGAAAAGAATCAAAAGATGACTCAGAATTCATTGAAAAAGTTATAAACAGATTTGGACAGTTAACAAGACGATTACAATTCTTGTTTGGTTATAAAATTCTTAATTGTTATGTATAAATAATTACTTAATTATTTGTTCTCGAATAAAAATATTTTTAATATAAAAATTTTTATAACAAATTTATTTTTCTGTTTCTCCTTAATTGTTTAAAAAAAACCAGGAGGTGCAAGTGCACCCCGCTGCCGGCGCCCTTGGTTGCCACCAATTTTTGTGTTTTGGTGTGATACAACAGAAAATTTTACTACATCTCATATTCAAAATATCATATATTTAATAGTCCAGTAATTATTGTAAAAACAGAACTTTAGAAGTATTTTTTTTTAAAAAAATGAATCCTACAGAAGTAACTTGATTAAAACCGGAACCTTCAGAAATAATTTTTCGAAGCAAATCCTTATCAAAGCGAATCTTACAGAAGTAATTTTTGCAAAAACGGATCTCACAGAAGTAATTTTGTAAAGACGGATCCTTCAGAGGTAGTTTTTGTAAAAAGGATCTTTACGAGTAATTTTATTGAAAATTTGGATCCTTCTCAAATAATTTTATCGTGCAAACAGATTCTTCTTAAGTAGTTTTATTATATAAGCGAATCCTTTCCAAAAAGAAATTTATCCTGAAAACAGACCCTCCAAGTAAGTTTATCGCAAAAACAGGTCCTTCTCAAATTGTTAAACGGATACTCCACAAATTATTTTGTAAAACCGGACCATTCCTAAATTCTACTTTTAAGAAGCTTAGTCGATGACGTCAGTTTTTCATAATTTAACTGAAACAATTCTTTAAAATTACAGTCCCCATAGTCCTTGCGTTTTTCCCAAAAGCAAGACATTATTTTCTCACGAACACCAAAACTTAAAGCAGGACCTGCGCTAGGTATAGATTCTGAAAATGACGAAGAAAATTTTAACAAAAGCAACACTCATAACAAAGATTTCAGTCACACACTTGAATTTTTTTCTTTACCTGGGAAACAGAATCATATTTTCACGAGTTCACTAAATTATGAGTTAATTTTTCACAATATCAAAAAATAGAACATTTCACGAAAACCCTGAATTTTCGTAGAAGCTCATCTTTTTTTTTCATATTATACGCATGCAGTAATTTAATCATTTTGGAAGAATAATAACAGCAACTGCTAATAAATTTACATAGAATTAATTATAATTTTTTCTAATGCATCTATTTTGTTTCCTTTTAGCTTTTATAAGTGAGAAAACACTAAAAGAATACCAAATACAAAGGACAGTAGTTACGAAACTTCTGCTAAGTTTTGTAAAATTTTACTGACTTTTACTGATCTATTTTAAGGAACAACTACTTTTCTCGATACTATTTTTATTTGCTTAATTGTTCTGAACAAGTGTGTTGATGTAACTTTATTTTTCTCATCATATTAACAAAAGAAGAACTTTTTTAATTTTTTATGAAATCTTTTGCTTGATTTCTTTTTCCATAAATTACTTAAAATTTATATTCATATATATATATTTCAATTAAATTGATTATTATAAATCAAGTTGAATGAATAAGATAATGGAAAAATCATCTTTAATTCTTAAAAATTGAAGAAAAATGAATGAAAAATAATAATGGTAAAGCTTTCCATTCCATTTATAAGTTGTGTATAAAATTGATTCGTAAAAATAAGAATATGTATAACTTATAAATCGGATTATTTTGATGAAAATGATAATAGAATATTAAAATTAAATTATTCGAGTTAAAAAGGAAAAATTATCGAATCTGTTTTTAAAAAATTGCATATTAATTCATTATAAGTTGAATTTCGAACAAAAAATAATGATGGCGGAACTCTAATTCACAAAAAATGCGCTTGTAAGCTACTAAATAAATTGATTCGTCAAAATGAGCATATGTTTGATTTATAACTCGAATTATTTTAATTAAAATAGTAAGTATGAAAAAAATCTAATTGAATTAATTTGATTTGAAAAAAGAAAATTATAAAATCTGATTCTTTAAAATTATTCTTAAAAATTACATTTAAATTGAAAGACTAAATTATGTTTTCGATAAGAAGATAGTGATTATAGAAATCTGATTTGCAAAGAATACATTAGTAAGTTTCGAAATAATGGATAAGTAAAAATGGGCATATGGCTTATATTTCGGCTTAATTTAATAGAATTAATAGAATGATTATCAGAAATCAAAATTTATTAATTCGATTTAAGGGAAAGAGTTCTGATAATCATATTAAATCAAGTTGTTGAAGGAACAAGTATGTTGTTTAATAAATATGTCTAATAATTCAAAGTGTGTGTTTCTGTTAAAAAGTTTTCTGTTCAAATTATTTAGTCAGAATACATAAATATATGGTAAATTCGTTTTCTTTAGTTTGTGAGACTTCAAATATTCTTAAACATGTAATAGAATTCATTTCAAAATCTCGAGTTTCCCGAAAAAATGAAATTAACATATCTCACTTTCAATTACATGCTTTTTTAAAAACACAAAAAATATATATTTATAATATTAAATAATAAATAAATCTAATCTCTAAATAAAGCCTCCAAATAAAGTATGTTAATTTTAAAACCCATAATTTTGCTTTAAAAAACAATATGATTTTAGTGTTTTTACCTTTAATAATAAAATATTATTCTTAAATTATTAAATCAAACAAAGGAAAATAATCCTGATATTTTATGCTTTTACTTTATAATTTCCATCTGAGATTTTATGTCTTTCCTTATAAAAAGATGATTTTGAAATTAATGAATCAAAGCAAAATATGTAGTGTTTGTCTTATGTGTATTATTTGAGCTATGTATGATTTTTTATAGGGTTTTAAGTGTTTTATGATTGATATTATGCCTTTAAATGATTAATTGTGATTGCATATTTAGCAATATTATAATTATAATTTCATTATAATTTGTTATTATTTCATAATTTTTTTATTCTTTGCATTTTTATAGTTGTTAATGAGAAATTTAAACAAGCCAAATAAATATGCATGCTAATTTAACTGAATTTCTGTTAAAGATTTATTTTCTAATTTTAAATTTTATTACCGAAAATCTTCTTAAACAACTAAAATAAAGAAAAAAAATTATTTTAAGACTAAGTTTGTTCTTTGAAAAATAAAACAAATATATTTTACTTATTGAAACTAACATTATTTTTAAAATCACTAATTAAAAAAATATGTCTACATTTAAGAAGATTATTTTAATTGGCTTGTCATTCTTATCATTAAATGTCATCATTTTTAGCATGCTAAAATTTATTAATAACTCTTAAGTGCTTGAATGATTAATGTTTTGTGAGTACTATTGTTGATCTTTCATTTCATTATATTATTGTAATTACATAAAATAACTGTTATAATGTTTCACTCGTTGTATTGTTTCTTTAAAAATTGTAAGCATATTTTTTTGTAAACCTGTTATATATTTATACTTTATTTTAAACTGATTCAATAAATAAAGACAATTATGATTGGTAAAGAAATATGTTTTCTTGAAAATTAAAAAATAAAACTCGAATTTTTATGTTTTTTCATTGCTGAAAATTACTGAATAAATATGCTTCATTTTAATGTAACGGGGTTTATTTTATTTGACATATTATTATTCTTTGCAGGTCAAGAAAATTAATATCGTAGCTTTATGGTGAAATTGATGTTGTGTATAATGATATGTAAATTGTGTTTTATATAAATGTGTTCAATTGCTTCATCATTATTTTTATTTACTTATACAATAAAATTTTCACTTATCTATTAGAATTTTAGCAAGTAAAGAAATAAGTTTTTTTTAGCTCAATTATTTTAGAACTTTAAATAGTATTAGATACACCGAAAAGCCATTACATTATGACCACCCTGCTAATGACATGTAGGACCACCTTTGGCTCTCAAACCTGCTAGCACCCGCCGTGGCATTGATTCCACAAGGTGCTGATAGGTAGTCTGAGGTATCTGATACCAAGCGCTCACATTGCGAGGGGGTAGCGTGGTAGCACGAATTTGGTTTCAAGAGAAATAAGCAGCACGTAGTAATTAAGTGTGCTCTTTCTATGTCAAAGCTAAATCAAAACTTTTATAAAGTTGAATTCTAAGTTCAATGTTTCTCTATTAAGTAATAAATTATTTAAAATGATGTTTGTTTGAATTCACAAATCATTACTTTTAGTGTGCTAAAATTGTTAGTTAATTAGTTTTATTACTATTAAATTCATAGTTTATTTATTTTGTAATAGATGATTTGCTTTTGTTTTGTATTACTGTGATTTTTCATTAATCATGAAATGTTATTTTTATAATTGCAGAATCATTATTTCTTGTTTTTCACACAGCTTTATTATTAAATTTTTCTCATACCAGACCTATATATTCATTAGTTATCATTTCTCTAACTTTGAAAAAAAAAGTTTACTCATATAACATTATAAATTCCTTCAAAATTCTTAATTTGAATAGTGATTTGGTTTCAATGGCACACTTAAATGTCACTTTAGTTATTAGTAAACTGGGATAAATTATTAATTTTAATATACTAAAATCCCTTATTTGAAATTAACATTTTGTTAATTGCAAAAGTAATTAAATTAATTTTTAAATATAATAATTCTTTCAAAGCCGCTAATTTTGTAATGTTTTTTTTACAAAGTGTATTAAATTTTTTTAGGGATGAAAAAATATATTTTGTCTAAAAAAATAAACCAATTTTTTTATCAAATTTTTAGATTAAACTTATCGGTCTCAACCGTTGTAAGCATGGGTACGGAGTTAGGGTTTATATTTCAGCTTAGAAAAAGGAGGAGGTCAAAAATCACCCCAGTGAAGTAATTTATGTCCCTCATTGATCGGTTTCCATTGGATTATAATATTGATACAAATATGTACCCTTTTTTTTTATTTTGTGCAGTCTTTCAGTTTTTTTTATTTTATTTGTATTATTGTAACAAATTAAACAATATTGATTATCGCTGTTTATGATAAGTTTATCAACATCCTCTGTGTTAAGTTATAAGGAGGACATTTAAAGAAATGAAATTTCAAAATTTAGTTCATGAGAACTGAAAATGGATATCATTCTTCTTTCCGACCAAAATAAAACGCATAATTCTCCAAAAAAAAATCTTTTTTAATTAATTGTTTAACTATTTGTGGAAATAAAAAGCTCAAATTTGAAGAAAATTAAATCTGTCGCCTTCTTGTCCATTATTTTATACTTGTTTGGATGTCTAAATACAGTTATATTAAAAATTAGAAGTATAATTAAAAGTAAATCTGATATCAGAGTAAATTTTGCTTACTTCTTAGGAATGTTATTTCACGTTTTCTCGTGGCTTTTATTTAGAAGAAAAAGGGAAAAGATTTTTTTGCGTTTAAAACAATGTGAGAAATTATGCAGATTTGAACTATTTCATCAGACGTTTAAAAAGAACTAATCAGAAAATGTATTAATTATTTTACCTATTCTTTCACCTCTTTTATTCTATGCATCTTTTCAAATATTATTCAATACCATATACAATTACGATCGGGACTCTTTCTTTATATTTAATCTGAAGATGAATGATGAGCTAGTTTCCAAGTTCTTGGTTTGCTTAGATATGATAATAAGTTTTACTTTGCCAATGATGGTCTTCGGTTTGATGTTGGTCTTAATCCTCAAACTCTACCAATCCGCTTCGTTGTTTTTAACAAAGTTCCTGTTTGATTTTCAAAAATCGTCAACAACACCCATTTTTTTGAAAAGCAGTATGGACTTATAAGAAGATACGCTGCCGTTATGTCTTTCATAAAAGAAGGCCAAGCTACTATTTCACAAATTCCATGCTTTATCTGTTTCAATTGCATTTGTCAACTGTTTGTGTCTGTTGCTATTTTTCTCGCTGGTCCTCAACAGTTATTTTCTAACGTAAACTGAATTTTGGAACCTGAATCATGTTTCTTTATCGTGTACTACTCGGTGTCACTATTTTTAATTTACAACATTGCAGGTGAAATTCCAATTCAAATGAAAAAAATTAGAGACAACTTTTACACTCAATACATAGATTTGCGATTGTCATCACCACGAAAAGCGTATTTTCTAAAGAAATCTCATTTAAAAGACATCGTGGATATACCTGAAATAACACTGACTGGTTCTTCAGTTTTATTTTACACAAAATCAAATCTTTTAAATTTAATCGGGGCTTTTGTTTCATTCGGCGTAGTCATTGTAAGCTTACAGAAATAGATAGCTATTTTAAAAACAATCAGAGCTATTTTGATAACTTTTTTTTAAGAATATGATGCATACCTTTATAAATATTGTTATTATGTATATTTATTAGAAACCCTACTCTTAAAGATAATCATCCCTGTGAAGCTGTGGAAAAACTTTCTTTTTCCACTGATTTAAACATTAAGCACATATTGATACTAGAAAAACGTATATGTCACACAAAATAAATTGCTTCCAACAGTGGAAGACCTATTTTGGTTTACAGTTCAGGCTTATCAAGACAGTTACTTTATGACACTCAGCAGAGCTAGATCAAATTTTTTTTGAAGACAATACACTGAATGGATGGAACTGGCCAGGACAGTCACCAGACCTTAATACAATACGATGCAAAAACTGTGCATTAATAACTCCTCGAAAATGAATACATTTAATATGCGGAACTAGCCAGGATAGTCGTCGTATCTTAATACATTACGATGTAAAAACTGTGCTGTAATATCTCATCGAATATGAATACAGTGAATAGATGGTACTAGCCAAGACAGTATTGGGATCTTAATATAATACAATGTATGTGCTGTGGAATATCCTCGAATATGATGTAGAACAACCCAAAATATTGTATGAAGAAACAATTTATATCGGATTCACATTAAATCGAGCTCTCATACACGATATTTAAAGGGTGCAATTTAAATCAAAATGCTTGCTATTGAATAATCTTACTCCAAACTGTCGCGCTTTCACACCATACGAGAATTACTTTTACTTCCGAAAGCACCAATGTTGGCGTGCTTTGAATATCAAAAATTCAAGAAACGCCAAGTGGAGTATTGCTAGTTTGCTTACGATCTGAAATGAGCTGGCTATAGTTTGCTTTCAAAGGCTGATGTTCATCAATTAGAACAAAAATTCTCCGTTAAAATTTTTTATTTTGAGTTGCGTAATAAGGATTAACATATATTTTAATTTTTAAACCTCTGAGAACTGTATTAAATGTATTGTATATAAAAATTTTAATTCCTATCTGCTTCCACTCTGTCACGCCTAGTTCAAATTCGTTGTAATATTCTCTCTGTGCTACGTGTATATGTTTGATTTAAAGACTAATTTTATTTTAAGACTTAGCGTATACATGCATTCTAAAGTGACGATTATGCTTTATTGTAAAAATAACTTTACCGACTCAGATTTTCTTTATCTTATTCTACTATAATATATATCTTACCATAATTGAATAACAAAAATGTTGGAGACA